GCTTTCAATGTGTCCCGTGAGGATCATATTCTCCAAGCCCACTTTACGTTGTAATAAATATGGCGACAAAGATGAGGACAATAGTCCGAATAATATAAATAAAGAACCATGAATATCCACGTTATGAGGGGACATGTCACATCGAGAGATAGAGAGTGTCATCTTTTTTTTTTTTCGAATGCGTACAATTAGAACCGTAAAGTACATTTTATAGAATATAGAGAAGTCGTAATTATAAACATATCTACTGCAAGATCTGCAATGTCACATATAAAATCAGTTATTTTAAATGTATCTCAAAATTATCCCGAAGAAGAGTAGTTCTGAGTTCAAACCTGATGTTTGTAAAATCCATTAAATGTAGACATCTCATGCTGAAAGTAGTATTGTATTTTCACTTGGGGCAAAAAAGTAAAAGAAAGCCTTTAAAACACGGAAGCCATTTTTTTTCAGTGGTCAGTTTTGCCACTTATCGTAAATTTAAAATAATAAAAAGCGGTAAATTTATTATCACTGTTTTATCTTTCAGGAATTATTGACCTTGAATAAATTTCTTAAATATTCATGACTTTGAATAATCATTCGACTCTCGCTTAATTACTTAACTCTGATTGGTTATTTTATAATTCATTAATTGCTGCTTGATCTTGTGACCCGTCATTTAAAGGTAGGTACGTCCACTATTTCGGCATAAATTTTCTATATTTAAGTTTAAAATTAATTTTTTACAACGAAAAAACATTATTGAAGATTTCATTTTAGCTTTAATTGGAAGTTTAATCATCAAACTTATTATTTCCAGTAAGTAAAATATTCTGGTGTATTTCATTGAAACTATATACATTTGATTGTCAAATTTAATTTCAAATTTTTAAATTTTCTTAAAATCGGCCATTTTCTTAATTTTAAGAAATTTGTAAACAAACACAAATTTATCGATTTTGAAAATATTTTTAAAAAATTTTGACACGTTATTTTAGTAAAATTAAAAAATTTAAAGTTAAAGTAATCTGATTTGAAAGAAATCTTTCTTACTTATAGCATAAAAAAATAATATACAACCAATTATTAACGATTGGTCCTGTTCATCTGATCAAACTATTGATGGATTGTTGAATGAAGAATCGATGACAGCTACTACGGATAACCATAAATGACATAATTTTTAAAAATCTGAGTTAAAAGTTTTTTCATGGGTTTTTTTACCTACCTAGTAATTGTTAGAAATGAACATATTTTCCGCAATTTTTATTGACTTTTAGTTCTATTTACCTTTCGAAGATGCAAAAATAAAATAAAAAAATAAAATAAAATACCATGATAGAAGTAATTTAATAATTTATGAAATGGTAATTTAATTATTATTTAATAAATCAAAATTAAATGTGACTTTCCAATCCAATGTATTTCTGTCTGAAATACACCAGAATTTTTATAATTTTTATAATAAATTTAATCATTAAGCTTTTATTTGTTCCTTCTTAAAGTTTTTAAAAAAATTATTTTATTTGAGTATGACCCACACTAATGGAAATACAATACATAAAATAAAAATATTTAGTGAAATAGTAAATGAAAAAAAAGAAAAATTACTTTAATATTCAAAGTTTAAATTTTACAATTTTAAAGCTGAACGGAAAATATAACCTGTTAGAAAGCAACTAAGAAACGAAATGTTATGAAAAGGCCACGTAAAGGGACAAAACTCTTAGATCACGTGACTTTGTTATAATAATGGCAATTTCAGTATATCGTACATGGGAATAAGGAATGTATTAAGTAAAAAAATACAACATAAAAAAGTATTTAAAAAAAATAGCGCAACTAAATTTATTAAACTTAGCAATTTTGGACTCGTAAATTTTTTTTGCACTTAATTACAACATCACCTCGAGGAACCAGCCTAATACAGAGCTTTACACGATTTTAAACTATTATAAATTATTATAATTAAAATTTCTTAAAAAATGAAAAAATTCTTGTAAAACTTAATAATTCATCAGAAAAAATTTATTTCTTCAGACAATAATGTCCTTAATATTACTTATTTACAAAAGTAATTAAAAGCTTTTCTAATTAAGTAATATCATAGTTTTATTGGATTCATTATTTTTTAATTCAGAGCAGATTTTCAGTTAGATAGCTCAAATTTGGAAAAAAAAAGTATGTTATTTACCATCTCCAAAGACTGCTACGTTTAACAAAAAAAAAAAAAAAATTTCAGGAACCAAAAAGGTTTTGGGCGAAATTTCATGAAATTAATTAAGCGGGAGGTAACATATTTAAAAAAAAATATTTTTTACCAAAATTTTCTAAAAAAATATTTCAAAAATAATTTCATTCATTTGTGAATAAGTCCTGAAAATTTCATTAAAATCTGACAATTACTTGATTTTTACAAGAATTTCCAAATTAATGTTTTCAACGGAAAAAAATCGCAAAAAAAATATGTTATTTTCTGTGACGCCGCGATGACGTAAACAAAAGAAGACTTTAACCAAAATTTCGAACGTGTTAGAAAATATTAAAAAAATTCAAAAAATAATTAAAAAATACTTTGGTCTTTCATCTTAATAATAACATAATCATTTTGACGATAAAACTTTATTTTAGTTAAGTTTGTGGCATTTTTCATTTACGCTATATGCTGTTTTCCCGCGAAAACAGTGGACAACCTTATTTAATGGTTATTTGCTGACAACTTTCGTCTTTCTTTCTGCCCTTCTCGTATGGCTAAACAAATCACTGATTTCGAGCGTCAAGTCATCGTAGTTTTCAAAGAACATCCGACGTGGGGATTGACGAAATCTGCAGAAATTCCTCGTGAATTGTTCAGTCACATCAGTCGTCACCAGTTTTCAACGGTTCTCTCACGTCTTTCTGAATTCACCGCTACTTTTTTTTTCTTTTTTTTTTTCTTTTTTTTTTACTTGGAACCTTGTATATAAAAACATAGAAACTTGTATATTTACTTACATCGAAACTTTTAATTTGAAGTAAGACTGGTACATTCATCTCAGTATCAAGTTGCGTGTTTGAAACCTCTTTCCAATTATCCTGCAAAGTAAAGTAAATCAAATAATGAACCGAGGAGCATACATCCGGGACCCCAAAGACAGCAGGCCGTAAATGATAATGTTTTCCATATTAGTAACGACCACTTTTCAATCCATCTCTACCCGCTCTCTACGTTGCTCAACATATGCCACAAGCTACATTAAAGGCCACTTGAATATAGAATTGAGTATTTTGACTTTGAACCGCCTGAAGATTATGAGACGGCTGTATAACAATGTAACTTTAAAAGCAGGAAGCAACTATATATATATATATATATATATATATATATATATATATATATATATATATATATATATATATATATATGCACGTGTTCATCGTTGCTTGAAATCATCTATGTAAACAATAACAGACTATCATCACTGTCTTGTCCGTATATTGCTTAATATATTGTACAGTAATTGACATCTTTGATAATGGCTTATGTAAGCCGAAAGCTTAGATTGGATTAAAAAATATGGATCAATATTGTGATTTTCTTTCTTCGTTTAATGATAACGTTATTGAGATTATCAGACGTTATGAAAAGAATTTACATAAAACAAATAGACAACATTGTCTATATCATTTAATGAAACATGTATGAATATATATATATATATGTGTGTGTGTGTGTGTGTGTGTGTGTGTGTGCGGGTATGTAGAAAAATAGGAAAGAACACGTTAGGTAAATAATCCAGGGTTGTTTAGTTTTTTTTTTTTTTAAACAGTGCTCTATACAGAAGTAGAGCATAGATTATAATTATTTTATACACGAATCTCATCACGGCTGATTTGTCAGGAAGAAGATCCCTGATGTTATCGGTTTGGAGGGGGACGATCCCAGCGTGCAATTGCTTTGGGAAGTGCTTGAAAACCATAACATGGGTTGACCCAAGCCTTGTGAATGAAACTGGCTAGACGGAAAACTAGGAGGGTTGTCGATAGCACGGAGTCACAAGTCATCGTGACCGAGGGTTTGAGTGTGCTGGCCTTGTTCAGATTGTTGATCAAGCTAGATAACACGCTCTAAAAACTGTAACTAAGGTCTGCTCAGCATAGTTGCAGTATAAAACACAGGTGGGCTCTATGGATGTTGATCAAACACAGATGTGCCTGAGCGAGCGTCTGAATTAGGGATTGGCTAGCCGCCCTAATAGACGAGTATCCTCAAATACGATTGGCCAGCTATTATATATATTAATGTAAAAGAAAAACTGTTGGTGGAATCAACGGACAAATTGTCAAAAGCTAAACTCTTATCCAGATACAGTCTCGAATAAAAACGACAATACTGAAAAAAGAAAAAGAAAAAAAAAGGTCTGAAAGCAAACTTACCTACTTAGTAAAGTGCTCGAAGCCTAGATTGCCTAGACCGAGCAAAAAACGCTTACCATCCTAAAATCCTATGAAAGAATTGCTCTAGTCGTAACTAGAGTTTCACGCTTACGCGATCTTCAGATGACTTGAACGACTTGACATGGATTGGGGACATAGAAAAAACATATTTTTATTTTGTACTTGATAAAGCTACATAACCTATTTTCAGCTTACAAATAAATGGCTTCTCATTTCGTAACTACTTCACACTTATGAAATATTGAAAACTTAATATTGCCCTTATTTTGAAGGCGGGGGTAGTACCAGTAAACTAGCATATGAAATTCATTTTTCACTAATTGGGCGTGACAAAAATTTAATTAAAAATCAAAGTGTCAAACGATGAAAAGTTTTGTTTTTAAATCCACAGATATTTATATTAACTACCCTTTCATTTTGCTGATATACTTAATAACGGAGATAGGAATTTCAAGAATTAGCGTCCAATATAATTACTTATTTGCTTCTTGCGTTGGTTGGAACAAAAGAGAAAGGACTTCGGTTAGAAGTGGGATTACATTTTTTTTGACATATTAAACCACAAAAGAAGAAAAGCTAAAATGAGGGTGTTATTTTATTATATCTCTCTCTCTCTCTCTCTCTCTCTCTCTCTCTCTCTCTCTCTCTCTCTTTCTCTTTTCCTTTCTTTCTCTCTTACTCTCTCTATCTTTCTCTCTTTGCTCTGTTTCTCTCTTTTTTCTCCCTCTCTTTCTGCTCTTTTTCTCTCTTTATTTTCTTCCTCGCTCTTTGATAATTTTCTCCCCATCTCTTTTCTTCCTCTCTTTCTCTCCTTTTGCTCTTTCTCTCTTTCTCTCTTCGCTCTTTTTCTCTCCCTTTTTTCTCCCACACTTTCTGCTCTTTTCCTCCTCTCTCTCTCTTCTCCCTATCTCTCCCTGCTCTTGTTTTCTCTCTCTCTCTCTGCTCATTTTCTCTCTCTCTCTCTATTTTCTTCCTCCCCTTTTGCTCTTTCTTTCTCTCGCTTTCTTTGTCTCTCTCTCTCTCTCTCTCTCTCTCTCTCTCTCTTACTGTATATTTGTATGTGTCCTTATGTGGGTGGGTTATTTGCGAAGACATCTTTGTGTGTAAATTCAGTATGCGTGGGTCGGCCAGTTTTAAACTACGTTAATTTGAGGGAAAAGCGTTAACCCTAGCTACAGAACAGACTTAACCGTTATTGAAATATGGAACTTGCTAGAAAGTACCACAGATCTATAATTTAACGTCCTCACACGTGAGTTATCTGGAATTTCGAGGTTTATATATCTCCTAAAATATTATCCTCGGATCTTTAGAGCGACATGCTAATGCTCTTCCAAAAAAAACTATTTTAACTTACGAACAAAAGTTTGACTAGTACCTGTTAAGCAGTCTTTCGTATCAAATCGTGAAATGAAAGTTATCCTGAACGGCCACTCCTCTAGATCTTTTCATATTAATGTAGGTGTCCTCCAGGGCTCCATCCTTGATCCTACTCTGTTTTTTAATGTTCATTAACGACTTTTCCGATGACATCAGCTATCAACTTGGTATCTACGCTGATGACACGACCATTTACTCCAGCCTCTATAGTAAGACTGATCAGTCTGACAAGGTCAAAATGACAGCTGATGTCCAAACGATATCAGGACCATTGTTAACTGGGGCAAAAGATGGCTTGTCAATTTTAACGCCTCCAAAACTAAACTTCTCCCTATTATTCATCTGAGATCCCCCTCCCTGCCTCCCATCAGCATGACTGATGCTAACCTACAGGAAAGTGACTCGATGCGCCTTCTCTGGCTAACGTCCTCAGCTGACATGAAGTGGAAAGACTATAACGAATCCATTGCTAGGTCAGCTAAGAAAGTCGGTTCACTGTGTCGTGCGAGACAATATTTCTCTCCAGAATCTATTTTGCATATCTATAAGTCTACCGTTTGCTTAGAATATTGCTGTCATATATAGTCCAGTGCCCCTGTTATTTACCTGGAGCTCCTTGATAAAATCCAAAGAAGAATCAGCAATATTATTGGTCCTGAACTGGCGGCTCGGCTTTAGTCCCTTGCCCATCACCGTAAGGTTGCCTCTCACGTGGCTTTTTTTTTTTATAAATACTTTCATGGTAATTGTTCGGGTGAGCTATTCGCTATGGTACCTAGACTGTATCAATTTAAGTGCAATACTAGAATGGCGGTGAGATGTCATCAATTTACAATTGAGTTAGCTAGATGTAGCCGTAACTTCTATGTTAACAGTTTATTTTCTCGCACTACTCACTTGTGGAAATCCATTCCGGCTCTATGCTTTCCAGACAATATTAATCTGAAAAAATTTAAATGCAATGTCAATCGCTATCTTCTATCTTCAGTCACTTTCCCACCGCCGTAAGGTTGCCCCTCTCTCTTTTTTTTTTTTTTTTTTTTTTTTTTTTACAAATACTTTCATGATAATTATTTAGGTGAGCTCTTAGCTATGGTACTGAGACTTTTTTAATGTACGAGTTTGGCGTCGAGATCTCATCAATTTACAGTTGAGATGGCTAGATGTAGCCGTGACTTCTATGCTAACAGTTTCTTTTCTCGCACTACTCACTTGTGGAACTCCCTTTCGATTCTATGCTTTTCAGCCAACTTTAATCTGCAAAACATTAAATGCAATGTGAATCGCTATCTACTGTCCTGATTAATCTTTTCTCTTTCTACTCATTACTGATGTTTCTCTTCCTAATTCGCCCACACCCTGAAACCCCTTGCCTCTTAGTAGCTGCACTGTCTTGCTAGGGTTGATACCGATTAAAAAAATCTTGTTTCAATCTGAGCAAATTTCAGTCAATGCAGTAATCAATTTTAACTTAATGGAGGTGATGACGATTGTCATCATCTGGAGAAATAAGTTAAACTCTAAAACAATGTTTTTCAACATTTTTTTTTCTTACACTTGAACCCATAACTAAACTTCCCCCGACACACTTAAATTATGATGATCAAAAAGTAAAAAAAAACGTATGCATTTATTATTTATTTATTGATGCAAATAAAACAATTTATTATAATTTGTAATAAAAAGATAATTAAAATTCTTACAAAAATTATATTTATTTCTGTCTATTATAACTTAACTTTTAATGAGAGATTTTTTTAGAATATCTTTTTGACAAGGTCGAATTTTGGACAGACATACTCTTCTAAAGATTCTATCCGCGATTAACTTTTTTTTGTTAATATTGTTTATTGCAGAGAAGATTGTTCGCTCAAATATGACGTTGAGAACGGAGGAAGTATTTCTATTGCATTTTTCTTTCTTTTTTTTTTATTTGGAAATCCAACCTTAAAGGATAACCAAAATGATGCAATATCTATAAAAATTATATACTCATATAAACAATCTAAAGAAGTTTCAATTTTTATCTGTACATTTAGGATTTTTTCGATCGTCCTGGGTATGATGACAAACTACATCCGGCAGCAAAGTCTCTGATCAGGGGAGTGGAAGTTTTGAGGAACGTGGAACCACCTCTTAATTGCTGTTGTTCCCCGGTCCACCCTGACCTGAGGTGGTAGCACCTGTTAGGGTCCTAGCTATGGCTAAATAATTAACCCCCAAAGCTCGGGTCAAACACTATGAAAGTATAAAAATACCTTTTCATAATGAAAATACCAGCAATGCATTTTCATAGTAAAAACATTGCCAGCAAAAAAGAATTACCAGTAACTCCTTTTTGTAAAGAAAATTACTAATGCTCCCCACAAAATTAAATTTCGGCATTAAATGATCCACAAGGAGTTGATATGCCGCTTCACGGTATACTGCGGTATCATCATGCTGTGGTACACCGGTTGAAAAATCACTGCTCTAAAGTATCCCTGAGGATTTACGTTTTAAAAATGTTTTAAATTCATTATTTCCACTTGAGAAAGAAGCTATATGGACAATATTATTTCGTACTTCGATTTCGATTTCTACAATTTTATGCCGACTGTCTAATTAAGGGACTAAAAAGATTGTTAATGACTTGTCTTTTTTAGTTACACAGTGTAACCCGGATATAAGAGTGTTCCCACACTTACCTAAACAAAATAGACCAAACCCGGATATAAGAGTGTTCCCATACTTACCTAAACAAAATAGACCAAACCCGGATATAAGAGTGTTCTCATACTTACCTAAACAAAATAGACCAAACCCGGATATAAGAGTGTTCCCATACTTACCTAAACAAAATAGACCAAACCCGGATATAAGAGTGTTCTCATACTTACCTAAACAAAATAGACCAAACCCGGATATAAGAGTGTTCCCATACTTACCTAAACAAAATAGACCAAACCCGGATATAAGAGTGTTCCCATACTTACCTAAACAAAATAGACCAAACCCGGATATAAGAGTGTTCCCACACTTACCTAAACAAAATAGACCAAACCCGGATATAAGAGTGTTCTCATACTTACCTAAACAAAATAGACCAAACCCGGATATAAGAGTGTTCCCATACTTACCTAAACAAAATAGACCAAACCCGGATATAAGAGTGTTCCCACACTTACCTAAACAAAATAGACCAAACCCGGATATAAGAGTGTTCTCATACTTACCTAAACAAAAAAGACCAAACCCGGATATAAGAGTGTTCCCATATTACCTAAACAAAATAGACCAAACCTGGATATAAGAGTGTTCCCATACTTACCTAAACAAAAAAGACCAAACCCGGATATAAGAGTGTTCCCATACTTACCTAAACAAAATAGACCAAACCCGAATATAAGAGTGTTCTCATACTTACCTAAACAAAATAGACCAAACCCGGATATAAGAGTGTTCCCATACTTACCTAAACAAAAAAGACCAAACGCGGATATAAGAGTGTTCCCCATACTTACCTAAACAAAATAGACCAAACCCGGATATAAGAGTGTTCCCATACTTACCTAAACAAAATAGACCAAACCCGGATATAAGAATGTTCCCATACTTACCTAAACAAAATAGACCAAACCCGGATATAAGAGTGTTCCCACACTTACCTAAACAAAATAGACCAAACCCGGATATAAGACCAAACCTAAACAAAATAGACCAAACCCGGATATAAGAGTGTTCCCATACTTACCTAAACAAAATAGACCAAACCCGGATATAAGAGTGTTCCCATACTTACCTAAACAAAAGAGACCAAACCCGGATATAAGAGTGTTCCATACATAGACCAAACCCGGATATAAGAGTGTTCCTAAACAAAAAAATAGACCAAACCCGGATATAAGAGTGTTCCCATACTTACCTAAACAAAATAGACCAAACCCGGATGTAAGATTGTTCCCATACTTACCTAAACAAAATAGACCAAACCCGGATATAAGAGTGTTCCCATACTTACCTAAACAAAATAGACCAAACCCGGATATAAGAATAGACCAAACCCGTATAAGAGTGTCCCCATACTTACCTAAACAAAATAGACCAAACCCGGATATAAGAGTGTTCCATACTTACCTAAACAAAATAGACCAAACCCGGATATAAGAGTGTTCCCATACTTACCTAAACAAAATAGACCAAACCCGGATATAAGAGTGTTCTCATACTTACCTAAACAAAATAGACCAAACCCGGATATAAGAGTGTTCCCCATACTTACCTAAACAAAATAGACCAAACCCGATATAAGAGTGTTTCTCATACTTACCTAAAAAAATAGACCAAACCCGGATATAAGAGTGTTCCCATACTACCTAAACAAAATAGACCAAACCCGGATATAAGATTGTTCCCATACTTACCTAAACAAAATAGACCAAACCCGGACGGATATAAGAGTGTTCCAAACCCGGATATAAGAGTTCCCCATAAACAAAATAGACCAAACCCGGATATAAGAGTGTTCTCACTACCTAAACAAAATAGACTAAACAAAATAGACCAAACCCGATATAAGAGTGTCCCCATACTTACCTAAACGAAATAGACCAAACCCGGATATAAGAGTGTTATCATACTTACCTAAACAAAATAGACCAAACATAAAGAGTGACCAAAACAAAATAGACCAAACCCGATATAAGAGTGT